ACTCTGAATTTGCCAGAGCAGCAGGCTAAATTGAATTTCATGTAACACTCAAACAACATTCATAGTATTATTCTATATTAAACATTTGAAAAGAACATTTTTGCACCTTTCCAGATTGCACCCTCAACCAATATGGTTTAATAAGGTGAATAAATATTTGAAATAAAAACAAAATACAAATATTTAAAAACATTTTTATTGAAATATCCTGCCCCAGTCAATGATAGCAACTGAATTATGTTAGTTAAGTTATTCTAGGGCTACTAAATGTAGTCCCTCTCCTCTTTCTTTAGCCATACACGCAAGGACCAGAGCTCAGGTGTGGGAAAGCAGCATTCCGGGGCGGGGAGGGGGGGAAGGAAGAAAAAGATAAAAGATTGTTCTTAGATCCCAATGACCAATGTCATGGCTGTAGTTTTACAAGGTGTAGTTTAATTCTTACTTCTGATTTTCGAAGATTTCAGACTTTGTGAAAAAAGTTCATTAAAGTTTTGTCCTGGCCAAAGCATTACATAAACCTCCAATTCCATGTGTCAACACAGCTCTGCTCAGTTAAAGCATGCTGGTGCTTAGTTACAGAATTTTAGCACCCAGAACATGCATGTTTGTGAGTGAGTAGAAACACACATATACAGAGCTTTTGTCTTTTAATGTGCATATGAATTGTAGCACTAAAATATCCACAGCATCTACAGCTTTGGACAAAAAATAGTTTGTCCTTGGAATTTTCTAGTCAGAATTGAGGAAAGGTGGGTTTTTTTCTGCACAGTTGAACATCTGACTTGTCAGAAGTATGGCAAAAGTTAATTTGTATTTCTGCTTATTTATTTTCTAAGCTGGAAAGGCTTTAACTCACCATAAGTTTCCAGGAACCAAGCAGCATTGAGCAAACTTCACCCAATGTATTCTTCATGCACAGTATGTAAGCATAATAACAAAGCAAAATACACATTTCTGCTTAGCCTTCATCCCTCTCAATTACTTCTCTTGGACAAGTTCCACCCATGGCTACACAAGAACAGAAAAGAATCTGAGACAGTTCTAGAGCAGTTCTCAACTATCCTAAAGGAGAATTCAGTTCCAGTACCAGTCTCAATAATCAACAAAGAAGGACATAACATTTCATCCTAGTATCTAGTTCTTCTTATGCCTCAGAGCATAAAAAAGGCTCAAATAATGCCTGCCTCTGTCAGACCAATGTGAGGCTGCATTCTCCACAGATAACCCTAAAGATAGGAATGGCTTTTCTGAATAAAGTGAAGCTATTTTATAGGCACAGAATATTACAGAATGTGTGAAGATAGCATATGACTCACTGGAAGAAGGTTTGTAATGGCTAAACTAGGATGAAATCTTAAATATAAGCTTTGCCTCATAAGTATCTTCACCTAACTTAAATTACGTTGTGTATTTCCCTATGAACTGCAAAAAAAGAAATGGGATGGTGATTCCTTTTTCTCTTCAATCAAATGCAGGTTCTCAATTCTCTCTGAATTAATGAAGAATACCTTTTCCCCCAGTTTTCCCTCCAAAAGGCCATCATCCCATTTTCCTCTTTTTTCCCCAAGTAAAACTATAAAGTGCAGAGAATGCAAATGATAGAATAACCTCAAAACTGATCAAGTTCAGGCAAGGATATGCCACAGGAAGTGTTCAGCCCAAGAGATTTCCTTCAGGGGCCTTTTTCCTTTGGGATGACACAGCACAACACCTAGCCTAGAGATTCCACACCACTAGTGCTTATGAAGAAAGTCATCTAATCATGGTAAATCAGAATTAAACTAACGAGCTACTCCAGAATATCTTTTTTATATTATCAGGTAAGTCAAAATTAAATTATTAAGGATGTATATGTTTAGTGGTACACACTTTTATTAGAGTTACTAGTACTTCCACTGCAAACTCCCAGAACTAAGCTTGACTTACAATGATCTGTAATGCAGGCAGGATAAGAGGACATATCTGAGTGTTTTAGAAGCAAACAGACCTCTTTGTCAGATGTCTAAAATATCTGTTAGATTACATTTTTAAAAACAAACATTTATCTTTTTTTTTTTAAAAAAAAGCCTTTCCTTGTTTTGCTAAAGGTCTTCTTTGACATCACAGAAAATGGAAAATAAGACTTCTTTACTCTCACTTTTCTGAAAAAATCCTTTATTTCAATGACTGGACGACATAAGCCAAATCAATTTTAAATCTTCTTCTTTTTTTTCTTTTCTTTTTAGTTAGAACTTCTTTCTTCCTTAATTATTACTAAAATCTTAACTTGTATTTTATGATATTCAGCACTTTCCATGAAGATGGTATATATAAATTCTAGCATTTCAAAGAAAAAGAGCAATAAAAATCACTTCAGGATTTTATACACTGCACAGAAATATAAAAGGTTCTTTCTCTTTTTAGGGTGCCACTTAACGAAATGTATTATGCACAAAGAAGGGCAGATCCTCAAATGGCAGGTGCTCCTGTGTAAGATGGCTCAAAATGTCCACAACTTAAAATTTTAAAAATTTAACTTCTGCATTTCTATTTCTCTTTAAATTATTGATGATATTACTATAAAGCTCCAAGGAAGATTAATTAACCAGGTATGAGGAAATCCTAATTCCAAGTCTAGGAAAAGGAGAAGGTGCACTGAAAACTAACCTGCTAGGTTATTTGCTTTTACTTGTAAGCAGTTTAAGAAAGATTTTACGGAATAAGAATTTAAGAAAATAAGAGGGTAAGACAGTGAAGTTAAACAACAAATTCACTTGTCCTCACTCAATAAGTTTATTCTAGTCATTCTTAGTTTTACCATAATCACAATGAAATAATTAATGATCTTTCAGTTTAGCAAAGGAATAAAAATTGCCATTTGTCCCCATTTTTTAAGGTTTAGTTCAGCCTGGTGAAATATAACAGCAAAATTTTCACTGACCAGCAAGAGCAGAATAGAGCCTCCGCTTATGCTGTTGCGTTAAAAACAAGGTAAGCACTTTTATGATCATGTATTTCAGTGTAGAAAGTATTGATATGTAAGGAAGTTTACCTGCAAATCAGAATGGGTAGAGACACTTGCAATAAATACAAGAAATATGCCAAAGACAAGTGCACCCACTACTGCAAGGAAAGTATGTCAGCGGTCTGACTTAAAATTACATTCTGTGTTACTGTGCCAGAAATGAAAGAAAGGGAAAAAAGGGCGCGGTACAGGAAGAGATTCTGCCAACTATGACATATTAAGCAACCTTGCAAGCTGGGGCAAAACCTAGTGTTTTTTACATTGAAAATTACAGTCACAAAAAAGTGGAATTAGGCCTTTTCATAACAAATAAAAAACTTTTCAAAACCAGCCAAGTGAGATTTTTATTTATGTTTCACTGCAAAACAAACAACAGGACTAGACAGGTAGATAACTACATTTTATATTCTGCATTTGGATAGTTCTAAGTTGTATTGTAAGTTCTGGCCCAGACACTGGCTTTACAAAACTGATTTCCCTGACTACTACAGGAACCTTCCTAGATTTATAGAACCATCTGCTGGTAAAATCAGTGGCTATTTTATGCCCAACTAAAAATAATCTTTTATTCCATAGATAGGCATATATTGCACATACCAGCCTGCATACCATCTAAAAATGTGGGCTGATTGTCACCTTCGTGCTGGTAGGAAAACAGTTGCCTTATCCAATATTCCACAGTTGTGTGAACAAAATGTATTTTAACATGATTTCTATTCACAGTTTAAGTGAATCATTTCCCTTTTAATTCCCCACCCCCAACTGTTCATTTATACACAGATGAGCAAAGCACTTTGATGAAAGCAGGTTCCAGAATAGACTAAAACTCCAGAATTTGCAAGTTTATTTTTGCAGATAGGAATGATATAAAACAAGGAGCCAAAAAGGAAAAAAGCTTTTATAATAGATTACGTATTTACTTATTTTAAAAATCCTTTTATCCCTCCTCCCCCAAATCAAAACAACCCCAAAGAACCAGACAAGAACATAATTAATGAAATCAATTTAACCTAATCTTAGTATGTCCCTGAGGACCTCACACGTCAGAAAATATCCTAAGCTAATGTATACCCTATGCAATGCTACACAATACAAGCTATTGCCCCATATAAATCAACATATTTTTGACCATGGTATTATCACCTAGCACCCAAAATATATTACATTTTTATAAATGCACGCTTCAGTGATAGTTCCATCTTCAATAAAGAATGTTTTATGACTACATGTCATATAAACTAATTCTGCCTACTTTATGTACTACTTCTGTGAAGAACAATTTTCTTTAGCCTGCTGATTCCAAGACAGTCCTTCTAAGACAATACCATATTTAGAGAACATTTAGACATATAATGTTTTATCCTTTTAGTTAGGTAGCTGTCAGCAGTAGCATAACAAATTGACTTTAATCAGTAAAAATATAAACACAATTTACACTGAAGGAAATAAGTTATTTTTTGAATGTGCCCCATCCCTGGCAGTGTTCAAGGCCAGATTGGATGGGGCATAGAGCAACCTGGTCTAGTGGAAGGGGGGCCCGCCACTCCCTGCCAATGGCAGGGGGATTGGAACTAGATGAGGTTTAAGGTCCCTTCCATTAAATCTGCTTCGCTTACTAAGTGCAATGATCTACTTCTTCTTTTTGGGAGGAAGGTGTCAGGGTTGAAATTATGGGGTAATGTTTTGTCTGCATGTATTCCTACATGTGTTATGATGTGTATTTTTCACAGTAACCTAAACATTTCTTTTTTCAATTAAATAAGCCTTACTGCACAAAGAGGGATTTCAGATTTTTATTCAAATAAAAGCAAGAATATTGAAGACCAGACACATGGAGGTTTTCAGAGTACATCAATCATTGTATGGCAATTCCACATTGCCTCAAAGAGTAAGTCTTATAAAGGTCATATTTATAAATGAGTATTGGGAATGGGGAAAGAAAATTTATATTTTTACAAAAAAATATTGATTCTTTGCTAAAGCAACTAATTCTTACCATTTTTAGATTCTGTTAAGTCTTGAGGTTGCAGTTTCTCTCAAGTAGCACAAGGAGAACAATCTGAAAACAATATAAAAAAGAAAAAATGAAAAAAAAAAAGCAATTCCAGTTGTTGCAGTATTTAATACATTGGGGTTTTTTGCCAGCATAACAGTGGGTGAGCCAAGTATAAGCTTCAGTGGGTAAGATTTCAGTCATGCAAATTATTCTAACTGCATGTATGCTTTTATATCATATGTCTCTGCACTTCAGTGGTCTGTAGGCTTAAATATAGGACAAAGGAATCCCTGGTACCTGGATTTCCAGAACCCTATGCTATTCTTAGTGCTTGGCAGAACTCTGAAAAGCACTATACCTAATGGTTAACACACCTAAAAATCAGACAAAAGGACAAAAACCCTTCACCCTATGCTTACTGTAAAGGTGGTCCATTGTTCCCAGGCATACTCCAAAGTGTGGTTTTTTGCAATGATGAAACAAGTGTAACAGCGTCAGGCTTTCACAATGTAATGGCCCAGAGAGTAGGTATTTTTGGAATGGCACTGCATTACATAACCTCCAGTTTTCTGTCTCTCCCTATTCCACACACTCCACTATTTTAAACAGGGAGAAGAAAGGAAAAAAAAAAAAAAAAAAAAAAATGGTAGGTCCTTTCTCATTTAAATGATACCTTAAATTACAACTGTCTTAACTGACCAAATTTGTAGCATACCTCCTTTATCAGTTTTCACATACTGACAAAAAATAAAGTTCTCTCCTACTGATTATACATGTCTTACCTATAGTGTGTATATATGAAATGTAATTAGGTATGAGTCATATGTTTACATACAAACACATACATACATACTGGATTTAGAACTGCAAACTCATATCTATAAATATACACAGAAATGTTTGAAAGAAAGCACATCACTAAACACTCACCAAAACACAGTTGGTTTTGATTTTTTTTTTTTCCAAAAGAACTACCCAAAATTTAACTGCTGTACATGCAAAAACGCAAAAGGCTGTTGCAAGAATGACTGCTTTCTAAAAATAAACCCCAGCAGCCTGAGAGGAATCCAGTGTCAGGGCGGAGAAGAGGGAGATTCGTTTTCCAAGGGGGAAGAAAAGAGATGAAAAACCAATCCTAGAGTCTTTCATGCATGCTAAAAAAGCTAAGTGCATTAGCTTCAAAAATGCATTTTGGTGTTTGCGGAGTGCAAAAGCGAGGAAAAGGAAACCCTTAAAAACCAAAACAAAACAAAAAACAAAACACCTCTCATCTCCCCTTGTATGTGTGCAGAAAAATGTCCAGCCTAGAAATCCAGCCTAAAAACATAAAGACAATGAGTTAAATACATATGCTGCACGTTTTCCCATCTTCTTTAAGAAAGCTTGTTTGGAAATGTGCACCGAGAGGGGGGAAAGGCAAGCTGCAGCGAAGTCCAGATAAGTAAGGACAAAAGGAAATTAAAAGAAACAGAGACAAAGAAAGAAAGAGAGAAAGAGAAGATTAATAATAACTAAAGAAAAAAATAAAATTCTGTGTATTGGAATTGCATATACTTACAGACAAAAGCCCCCGCTCCCTGCTCACTTTCTGTCCTTTCTACATGATCTGAAACACAAATGTGGATTAAAAAAGGGCAGCATGCTACCGAAGGGAATTTATAGTTAGGGGAGTGGAGAGAGGGTAGGGGGTGTGGGGAAGAATGACTGCACCTCTTCCAAAGTGCAGCCTAGGAGAAAAAAGAAAAAGGGGTGGGGGTGGCTGGGGGAAAATCTCTCTCTTCCCCCTCCCCTCCCCCCCTCTCCTTCCCGGCTGGGGTTTGGTTGCCAGCGCTGTTTTTATTGAACAATGAGCTAATTCTGATGGCAGATGGCTGGCCGCCAGCTCTCCCCCCTCCCTCCCGTCCCCTCCTTA